CTTCGTAATTGGTTGATTGATTGATTGATTGATTGATTGTTAGTGATTCCGGGCGCGTCAACTACCGAGGTCATTAGTTCCGTAAGTGTAGTGCATTTTTTTCATCCGCTTGAATTCTCCTCCAGATAGCGAGTGAATTCGTCCTTGCTTACAAGCCAGTGTCAAAAATCCTGCCACCGACGGGACTCGAGCCTTAACTTCCCGATCAGAGGGGCTGCAGTTGAATCAGTTGATGCACTGAGCCACCTCTCGCTGTCAATTCCTTCGTGAATAGAATCAGTAAGAATACTATGAGTAAATATCACCAGCAATAAAATCTATTGTGTTTCGATACAAACGATGAAACATGAACATTTCGGAAATGATGAGTTTCATGCTGATGGTTAATTCAGACAGTTTTTAGTCTTCCTACGAAAAACTACACTTTTAATACCGTATTCACATTATAGTCGCTCTCCCCCATTTCCCTATTTTCATAATTTATTACTAATTCCTACCACTTTTCTCGTGTTTTTACATCATTCCTACCATCGTTCCATTTTCTTTCATTCATTCTTCCCTTCTACGAATTTCGGCCCAAAGCCGCCAACCTGCTTGAAGCGTTCCTGGCTTACTATCGCTTAATGCGTATTTTTCCTAGCCTTGAATCCTTGACGTAACTTAATGCCCTCTTTTTTTTACAATTTTACCACAATTGAGTCATTTAAGTCTAAAAAATTACTTCTGACATTTTGCAAAATTAAGATTATTGACTTATTACGACTTTCAAATGGACAAGGTGTAAAGTCTCTCTTTTTATCAAATTAGCTTTCCAGATCAGAAAAAATGGCAATGAAAGTCTAGTCATACACTATACGTAACCCATTCCATTTAGTTAATGCGATCACTGGACTCTCCTATGTGGCGTGAAATGCCAATTATCAATATTTGCTTCGGAACGTCTCGATTAACGATTCCTGCCTGACAAGTACGAACGTCATACTGACATTTCGTTTGTTTTATGGTGAAAAACAGTAAAAATGTACGTGATATATTGTCAGAAGTTCACTTTCAGTCGAATTATCTTAAAAAAATAGTATATAAACGATAAACGTTCTTTACTCTAGTCAAAAAGAAGTTATTTCATTAAGGTTATAAATATTTACATATTCAGAGCTACTTACTATACAAAATCTTTAATGGTTGTAAGAACTTCAAGTGGACAGTAGCACGGGTTGATATTGTTTAAACGTTCTGAAAATTTGTACTCCTCATTTTTTCAACTTTATTAATTTGAGAGACGGATTTTGAAAATTTCGAACAATATAATATATATATATATATATACATATATATACATATATATATACATATATATACATATATATATACATATATATCATCTATATATAATATACATATATCCATTATACATCAATATATACATATAATCATATAATATCTATCCATATATAAACATATACATATATATATACATATATACATATAATATAATCATAATATACTATATATATACTACTATATACATATATACATCATATATATACACATATTATATACATAATTAACATATATAACATATATATATATATAACTTATTATACAATATCAATATATATACATAAAATATATACAGTAACATACAATATATACATATTATACATAATATATGATACATATATACATACTATATACATATATATACATATACATATATAATAATAATAACATTAATATTATATACATACTTATATATATATACATATTATACAACAATATATACTTATTACATACTATATAACATATATATACATACTATAATATACATATATATTCTATACAATATATATAAACATCACAATAAATACATAAAAACAAAAAAGCTAAAGTCATAAAAATAAAGAATAGATGTGTTCGTACTTTACTGAAGAATCATGCATCTAAAATTCGCAAGAAAAGCTTATGTTATCTACGCCATACTTTACATTCAGATAACATACAATATTTCATTTTGATTGCTACATACTTTAATACTTTTCCTCATTCGTAATAGGAATATTGTGAAGCATTGTTCAATATTATTTACTGAGTAAATTCATAGACCGTCAAGTCTACTTAACACTTGTTGCTAGAGTAACAGCTTGTTGTTTCTAACAGCAAAGGAGGATAGTTTCGTCCCTCTTCTATTCGAGGCGACCGGTCTTATCATTAGTTTAGGAAACAATAGGATACCAAATTTATACTCTAGGTCACATATCGATAAAAACAGATTCCCGACATCATGAATGCATTGGATAACCCTAACTTCATCTCATTTATATCATCAGCAATCAACACTGATTCCAAAAAAATAAAATCAATGGAAGGAAACAATTGGAAACTTCCTTTTGAATTATGATGATAATTAATATTCGTATTTATAGTACCATTAAACATCATATTTCACCCAAATGTTTTCTGTAGAAAACTTCTTTGGAACAATTTTCTAATGTATAGATTACAAAAAGGGAAAGATGATAAAATATTGAGCATACTTAAAATGAAACGTCCTGCTTTACGCCTTTCTCCTGGCATTACGAAGCCACGTGCCCAGCGCGTAGCCCCGTACCCACCGCGTAGGAGGGGGGCGGGGGATACGGGAAACCGGAAGGCAACTGCGGGCGAGCGGGCGTCCGGAAGCTCTGTCGGCCTTGGCACACGAGAATCGCCCGTCTTAAGGAGCACGCCTTCCAAACACGCTCTGGTGGGAATCGCCCGGTAGCATCCCGCGGTGGCCGCACGTTAATTGGGGACCAAATAATCCCTTCATCTTTCATCCCGAATCTCACTTTCCCTTCATCCCGATTCTCACTTTCTAATTCCACATGTAAATTGGGGACCAAACCAACCCAGGTAGGGAAAAGGATTGATTGAACAGCGTATTAAAGGGGCCGTCACAGTCCAACTTGTCCTTGTGCCTTATTGAAAATATTTAAGACTCGCTCTTATATCTAAATTAAAAGTAAAGAACTCACTAGAAGAGTGTCTAAATTTCATGTTCTGCGTTATAGAATATTAGCAGAGAAAAAGAAAGAATCAAAAAATTGCAAGATAACCAGAATTTATTCAATTAACGAATAATTCAATTGAATGAAAACCAACTTTAACCAAATCGTATTTCGAGAGAAATATACCAGTCCTAAGACTGGAAATTTATGAAGGAACTTCTGTTTTAAAAATAATACCTATGAAAATGTTCTTCGAAAATAGTGCCACCTTCCACTTTTACCTGGAAGGAAAAGAGGTAGTTTGTCCCCAATTTACGGGTTTAATTGTTATTTTCATTCTGGTCTCCAATTTACATTAGCCGCCGCGTCCCAGTTTTCCTAACACCCGATTCCCAGTTAATCCCTTCCATTTTTGTCTAAGTGAGAAGGCATAGCCCGATTCCATCCCGGCCTGTGCTTTGGGACGAGGAAGGAGAATATAATTGTTCGTAAGTTTCCATTCATGAATAACGCAAGTAATGTTCTCACGCCGGTCGAGAGAAAAACTCGAACTGAAGTGAACGACGTTGGATGTTCAGAGCAGTGCATTTATCGTATTCAAATAAATTTATATGTTTTATAGGAACATTAGGCCTTGCTTTTCCTTCCGCTTAAACAGCCCACGATGTAATGTAAATATCAGTTTCAATAAATTAAGAACATTCTATGCAATTGAATTGCAAAGTAGCAAACTTTCCTTACTTTCTGTGTGACCACTTCAATACAAGATAAATCTCCCTCCCTTTATGTATATAAAGGGAGCCGGTCAAATGACCGAGATCGTAACGGTATCGGACCAGGAGACCGCGGGTTCGATCCCCGCCTCGGGCGTGGGTGTATATGTGTAAGTCTATATGCGTGTGCAGTCCTTTAGTCTCTCATCATCATCATCATCATCATCATCATCATCTCATCTTTCATACCCCCAGGGTTAACAACGTGGGAGATAAAAATTCAGGATTCAGGATTCGGGATTCAGCCAAAATGTTGATCTCTCCCCAGCGAGGTACTTATACCTGCTAAAGCAAGATGTACGCGAGTTCCGGGATGGCCTATACACAAAAAAAAGGAGGGCAAGGGAAGGTCTGTATGTGTGCCTCACACAGACGCAAAAACTATTCGACCGATTTCGCGGAAGTATTCACACTTTGTTATTATTAGTAATTGCAATGCTTAAAGATTAGTTTGAATTAAATCGGACCTGAGGGGGCGTTGTTGATGATAAATTATTTTATGACGACTCAAGCGTCCTTTAACTCTACGCAACCCGCCGCAAAGTCAAGGATTAAGTGCGACTTCACTGCATTCTGTATTCTGCTCCTGCGATTCTAAAAATCGGCCGGAATTATTACGTAAATCTTGGGCAAGTCAATCAATTCTCTCTAAGATAGCGAACGCATGCCCAAATTTGAGGGAGAACGTTTTAACAGTAGGATACTTGACAGTCATGTCAAAGCCGGACGCAACAAGGACGCAGAACAAACCGACACATGCGAGAAAGTCTTTCATTTATTAGACTTTTTGCACAGCTTAGCGTAAAACAATCGTGATAAACGTTGCGATTAATCGTACCTTAGAGTGATTAACAATCATGTTACCGGTAGTTTGTGATGTGTAATATCCATACTGCAATAGCGAAACATTGCCGGGTCTACTAGTACAAAATAAATAACGTTACAAGGAGCCGTTGTTCATTTTCTCTTTCACTTTCTTCAAATATTTAAGCGGAAGTGCGAACTTGGAAGCACTGATACATAGCCGACTTTTTCCTTGAACTCAGCATGAAACCGAACGGGATGCAATCAGTCAATGCTTTTTTTGGAGAGGCAGGAATATGTCTTAGGAAAAACAGACAGCCGTATTCAGTCCGAATACGAGAGCCCTGGATGCCAAAGATTACATACCCGTGGTTGCGTCTTTAACTTTCCATAAAGTGCCTATTAAAATAATAATACCTATAATTTTGGGACTCACCAAGCGTTCGTTTTGAAGTCAGGAAGGCCTTGCCAAAAATTTCAATAACACCGGAATCTGCAAACATAACACCACTCATTAAAATTCACTCAAGAGTAACTTTAAATGGCTACAAATAGAGGCAATTAGTGGTCGGAAAACAAGATATGCATTAAAACATCTCAATAAATACGTATTCACCATAAGCATTTTAATGGCTAAAATTAATTTTGAATAATATTTGTTCAATTTACTCATTTGTATAAAAACCATTAACTGTAAACTATAAATTTGTATATGAACATTTTCCAACCAAAAATAATTTGGAATAACTTTAACAATTATCGTTATAATAGTGAATGAAACATTAAATGAAAATCTTTCATTGATGATACTCTTAAAGGAATAATCATAAAATATATTAATAATATTTTTATCATTTTATACAAAAACAATTGAAAATCATCAAATAAAGTAAAATTGGCAAACAATATTTCAAAATAATTTTTAATAAAATTCGTTTAACGAATGTTACAAATTATACGCTATTTCATTTTCGCTTTTTAAGATACACTCGTTTCAATTTATTTCAGCCATCGTTTGCACACAAAAAATACTATTCTGATTCCTTTTTAGGTTAGATATTAAATCAATTAGTGTATTCCATTACAATTTTGAGAAAATTACCTTTTGCTGCTGCCAACGAACACTGTTCTACGTTCTGGTCCTATGACGTCAGAACAAAGAGATTGCTTTCACTCTACGCGCCTAGCTAATGATCCAGGAAGTGGCGTAGTCGCTTTGAGCGAGATCCTCCGGGTATGACGCATTTCCGTCCACCAAAGCAAATACCGACAATTTCACTAGATGTCATTTGATGTACAAACCACAGGGTTTTCCTCCAACAGTAGTTAATTATTATTTATAATTCAAACAATTTTTATGCTTGTGTTGTCATGTACTTTTACCATCTTCTGCTTTGCCATAATAACGGAGGTAGCACAGCTTTTGGAGGAAGTAATATACTCGACCTCGTAATATCATTAGAATGTTGTTAATCACTATGCACGTAAAGCAATAGAGTGATCCTCTTCAGCGAGAATCGAGTCGTTATCTTAAAAATGAATTTTCTAGGCTTTCCAACGTTCTTTGGGTCAATCCTTGTATTCGTAGCAGTAATGAACGCGGAAGTATTCCAACACGTCATCGTTTGAACCGATTCGCTGTGAGGACTTCGTTGGTACGCACTCATCTTGAAAGAAATAGCTATTAACATTCCTACAAATATTATGAGTGTTATTACTGCAGAGACAAAAAGTTAAAAAGCGAGGCGGAGTGTAGCTTATCTAAGATTTTTAATTTGGACGAGGCAGTAATAACACTGTAACATTTCGTGGTTTGTTCTGTGTTATCGGTCACTATAAGATCTTACGATTTATGCGAAAATTTACATCACTGCGATAGTAAACAACTGAATTCTGTTGCCGTGGCAGGTTACTACGATATGGTGGGGGTGTTGCTAGTGACATAACTATTTAAACAATATTCGTATACCGTGATTTGAGAAAACGTGGATGCAAATAATTCTCCTGAACCTAAACGTGCTTAAAGAAATGGCGTTCGGTGCGGAAGTCTGCGCGTCGACTTCCAGTGGCGACACCTTCAGAGCGTCAGTAAATATGATAACCGAAAAAAAGAGTTTGGTGGAATGCCCGAAAAGTGATGTTAATTAACCTAATGCACATTTTTTTAATTACACTATTAATATTACAATTAACAGTAATTATCCACAAAACTAATATGAGTTACTTTAATTCTGAATTGTATCAATCAGATTTGTACAAAACATCGCCAGTTTTTTAATAAACATTTGACTTGCGATAAGTTGATGGTTATTTATTTACATTGCTAAGGATGTTAAAATTCTTAACATACAGGTAGGTGCGAGTGCACTTCACAAACCTGTAGGGTTGCATGTTAACAGGGGGATAATGACGCATGTGAGCGTTTAACAACGTTTACGACAATTAATTCTTCATACCTAAGTAGATAATCGAGTATGTCCGCCCCTCACGGTCAAACCCCTTCCGGTTCAAGAATCAAATGACAAATGAGATGTCATTTAACGCGTCTCGGTCTCCTGATGGGGAAATGTTTTGTTTTACGGATCCCTATAGAATGTGGTAAGTGGGGAACTGACCATTTTGGTTCGGATCTTTCCAGAACATTCTAAGAGAAATCTCACGAAAACGTATTACGGATCCCTAAAGACGATAATAAGACTTTTCCAAAAAAAACATGTATTTTGTTTCTTAATCAACGAAACCCACATTGGGCGACTTGCGGCGCCTACTAAGGTGATCTGTAACTCAATTTATTTCACTCGACAAGACAAATACAGAATTCTTAGCCAGCTCTTTATAATATTTTGGAATTATCCTGAAAAAACACGTGAAAATGTTTCAATGCATCTACGAGTTCATTGGTGAAACACTGAATTATTATTATTATTATTATTATTATTATTATTATTATTATTATTATTATTATTATTATTATTATTATTACTATTATTACTATTATTACTATTATTACTATTATTATTACTATTACTATTATTGTTATTATTATTACAATTATGTCTTCCCTTTACATGAATCATACAACTTGATTCATCAGATTGAAAATAATTAAACCTAATTTTGTATTGACACAAAAGTGTAAACAAGTATTTTAATCCATAGCCTTTCACGAATGTTCGAAAATAGACGAGCCGGTCAATTCTAATATGATGAAAATTTATTTTTATTACGTACTTTCAAAGCACAAATAAAACATTTCAACATGCAAATACCCGCTGGAGTCGTCACGCTTGTCCAGAACCGTAATAATCGAGTAACCAGCGTGTGTCCAAGCGCCCGTCGGTTACTCAGTGTTAAACTTCTTTCAATTCGCCATTCAGGGTCAGGTGTCTCGGTCTACCGGTGGGGAACTGACCATTTTTTTCCGGATCCCTCCAGAACATTCAAAGAGAAATCTCGCAAAAACCTCTTTTGGAGGTTTTGTGCACCTCAAACAAGATTCTACGGGTTTTAGGACACCAACAGAAGTGATGAATAGCTCATTCTATTCCTCTTGACAAAGCGAATTGATTGAATCTCTGAGCGAGATCCTTCTAAAAGGAAGAATTCTTGAAAAAAAAGCGTTTCGAATTATTAAGATACCTACAGTAGGGTATTACTGTACTGCGAATTACTTTACTGGCTTTATACCTTAACATGAATTATTAAATAGCATAGCTACCTTCAAGTATGAATCATGCAATGAACTGTCAATTGTCCATATCCTTCAGTCAGGAACCAAATGCATCCATGAACACACATCAATCCTAGAGTCTCACAACCGTGAAACTGTTTTATACTCTTGTGTTTTTCAGGAAAACATTAAAATTATGAAAAATACTAAAGGAGTATAATGATTTATAAGCTTTACTGTCAATTGTAAATTACTATTCACTATTTCATTTAAATCCTATATTTAGTATTGCATATCATGTATAGTTTTAGCCGCTTGGCATATTGCCGTTGGCGCGACTTTAAATAAGATAAATTTTAAAAAATGAATCGTCTCAACTTGATTCATCAAACTGACAATAAACAATATGATTCTGCAATTAAATTATTTTTTAAAACTATTTCTATCGATACTTCATGTACAGATAATGAATTCCAAAGATGACGAGCCAGATAACTGTCTCATGGTTAAAATTTATTATTATTGTTATTATTATTATTAATTATTATTATTGTTATTATTATTATTATTGTTATTATTATTAATTATTGTTATTATTATTATTAATTATTATTATTGTTATTATTATTATTTTTTATTAATTATTATTATTATTATTATTATTATTATGAACTTGCATAATACAAATAAACGTTTTTCAACATTAACCTACTGGCGACAGGCGCCACGGCAAGCTAATTAATAACTAATCGCAACAGCGTATGATGTAGGGATAAGGCATCGATACCAATGTTTTCAAAACATCGATATTTTAAAACAACGATATTTTAAAGCCAATATTTATCTAACATTTATCTAACTATTAACTTTGTGATCGATGTCTTTTTTTTTCTTTTTCGATGTTTTATTAGTGAAAAAAAGGTCCATGATGACAATTTTGTTAAAGTTAAAATGTGAAAAAATAGCGGATGGACCTTCGGCGAACTGACGAGCTGGTCCCTTGAGATCATCCTGGGCGTACAAGCATTCAGGTGTTTCAGTTTTGTCCATTGTAAATATTATTTTTATCTTTTTCTTTTAAATCGTAATTATAAAGTAATAAACAAGTCTATTATCATAGGTAATACTACGAGTGCTTTGTGAATTGTAGATAAATTTGCGACTCGCGATGCGAGGAGGGGATTCATCTGAGAATTTCCAAAGCACAAGTGGTATTTAACAGGACTATTCCACGAGTGAAATTATGTCCAACAATGTTCGCCAAAATGCGCCAAATATTGAAAATAACTCAAAGCAATGTTAAAATCACAGGTTATGTTATAGTACATACTCTATTTATTGGGCATCGTCATAGCAATCGATAGATGAGTCACAGTTTATGGTTGGCCAATAGGTAGAAGCTGTAGAAAAAATCGAAGTAAAAAAGCGATAAACGTTTTGAGATACACCGCCCAGAATGGGGCATTTTGTATGTATGGTTAAACAATATTGGTTTTAATTTCACGAGTGGAATAGTCAAATTAAATTTTGAAGTACACGAATTGAAAGGTACAACTTACTAAATCAGATTTAAAAAATCAATATCAAAATCGATGATTTTTGGTCGATGTATTATTAACATCAATATTTCAATTTTGAACATCGGTATTTGGTAACACCGATGTTTTGTTATCGACGTTGCATCACTAGTACGCAGTTGAGTCCGCAACTGAAATTTCGCACACCGAACCTTACATAGAGTTCCGACAGTAGCAGAATTTTCAACGTCAGCCAAACGCTGAATCGAAGCCAACCACTGCCGGGAAGGGAATTTCGAGGCGCAG